CCCCCTCCCCCTCCCCCTTCTTGCACGTTTTCGCGCTCGACGTTCGCCGTGTGTTTTCGCGCGCGCGTTTGCTTCGCGCGGCCGGTGATAGTGCCGGCCACGTAACGAGAGTGTTGACATTTTCTGCAATCGGGTCAGGGCCCCCCCGTGGAGGCGCTCCGACATTACCTGTAACCCCTTCCGAGGCGATACTCGCGCGAACCAGCGGCCGGTTTCGATCGCGCCGCGAAAACAGTAGGCTTTTCGCGGAAATGGAAAAACCTAACCGGCCTCTGTCATTTTACGTGGTGCCGTAAAAATATGGGATATTAACCACCGTTACATTCATACAGTAATTAAGTTGTTAAGAACCAAGAAATAATTGATCATGATACATCATATTATAAACGTAGCGGAGTCGTGATACAACTAACGGGCAGATAAATGGAATTTTCGTACGATAGAACGACTAGTTTACTGCTATTATATTGCACATATCCAAGTTCATTTCGTTGTTCAGAGACGTCACGTTTTTTGGTTGTCGGATCAGGTACCTTGTCGAAACATACATTTTTGTCACTCGTGAACGAATTTTTCATTTCTTTTTTACGTTCTCGATCGTGTTTCTCTAATATTGCAAAGTTACGATACACGAGGATGAAGGCGTACGTTAGGTTAGTTTCTAGAGGAGGGAACTCTTCGAGAGCAATAAGCAGAGTTGATTTTAGGGCACCGATCGAGCCTGCAGAGTGTGACTCGCTGCACGACGAACCAGCCTAGGCGGTGAGTCATCGTAGCCGGCTTTTCCTCGCGAAAGGACTAAATTGACACGTAAATACGTAACGAGATAGAAGCGCGACGAGCACCGTGACGAACAATCGCAGGCCCTCGTTTTTCTTTTTTTTTTTTTTTACTTTCACGAACTCTTTTTATCTCTCTTCGAATCGGTCTCGCTTCGATGTAGATCATCTGTGTTTTCTATTGTGGCTTACGTACGTAGTCTCACGACTACGTTTTTACGATGTAAGAATAATACATTTAATTATACTGAAAATTAAATAATATTCAGAAAATGAAATGAGTATATTAACTTTATTTTAACTTAATTAATAAAACTTATTAATAATAAATTATAATAATTTCTTATTATCTGGTTAATTTCTCTAAGAGATCAATTGAGTCCCTATTTTGATAATAAAAAGT